TGACGAGAATATCAAGTTTACCGAAATGTTTGATAGTCTGGTCGACGAGTCGTCGCATGTCTTCCCGTTTGGTCACATCTGCCGTCACTTCCAGTGCTTTAATCCCTTTCGGCGATACTTTCAGACATTGTTTGCCCACTTCTGCGAGTTTGTCGGCTCTGCGAGCGGTGACCACAACACTGGCACCCGATTGGGCGAACTGGACAGCAGTGGCCGCTCCCATACCCGAACTCGAGCCCGTGATTAACACTACTTTACCCGTGAAGTCGTATTTGATTGACATTTCAGTAATATTTTTACCGCAAAGTGTTTTGCATTTAAACATTTATATTGATTGAAATATTAAAGCAAATGAATAAAATTTGTTGTGTTTTTGCTGTCTTTATATAAGAATATTTTCATGAATTGTTATGAGTCTATTGCTATAATATTTGTATACTTACATTGCACTATGTGGACTTTTCAAGGTTATCTAGTACAAGTATTATTGGAAAACTCTTAACTATCCCAGTACTTTAGGGCATTTCCTAATACAATATAATGTACATAAGTAACACGCAAGTCTATTATTATTATGTTTATACATGTAATGTTTCTACGGTATAACACATTATCATATAATTTATATACATGTATATTTGCGTTGTAATAATAACCATATTAACTCGCTCTCTCTCTCTCTCTCTCTCTCTCTCAGAATTTTCTAATTGAATTAATTTTAATAATAATTCTAAATTACAAAATTACTAACTTAAAACTTTTTGAAACATGTTGTTAATAATTTTATAGTTATTTACTGTATAAATGTGCATATTTATAATTTTGCCATTGTCAAATATACTCAATGATAGTTAATAAAGAGTTACTTTACATAATATAATACAAAGAGCATAAGTTTAATTTTTCCATTTTTAATCAAATCATATTTATTATTGAAATAGACATACAATAAAAATTATACTTTACAAGGCTTTATGTGAAGTGCTTTTCTAATCATAATGCATTTCTTTTATTTCATGTACATATTGATTTTAATTAGAAGGTATTACTTGTTATAGTGTTATATCAAGTATAGAAAATGTTTCAACCCTGATACTGTATTTATATCTATTGTTTATTTAATATTATATTTGTAATCTATCATTTGTATTCACTGTAAAATACCAAGATCCTTTCAATTACATATACTAAACTCACTGATATATTAAGAGAGAGAGAGAGAGAGAGAGAGAGAGAGAGAGACAAGTGATATGTTGACAATTTGTATTTGATTTACTAAAATGCATGATAAGTTGTTTTTGATAAGTGCACATTTAAGTGGGTATTTCGGCTATAATTGTTTGATGAATTCAAGGTAATTGTCAATTAGTAGTTGACGTTAATTACTGTAATACTATCTCGAAATCATCATAATACAAAATACAATCCAGGGTCACATATACATCGCATGTAGGAATAAATATTAAAATAATAATTCCATTACAAAAATAAATCACAAAACAATTATTATATTTGATTTTAATAATAATAATAATGATTATAATTATTATTGCATTTAAAACAGGAATTGGATATTGTATTTTCTTATATTATCAACTTATTTTAAATATATTATGATAATGTAGAAAAATGCTATAGCAACAATAAAAATAATTTATACAAAAATTGATAGAATTATTATAATTAAATTATTAAATAAAATATTCTTAAATAACATTGTCATTATAAATGTGTAATAACCACATAGAATATATTCCTAGTAGAAGTTAAATGCAAAATAGTCATAAAATTTTATTTTATTACAATATTAAATATTGACTTTATATTATTATACCTAATTGTTGCAAAAATAAAAGTTTATTAGATATTGTTATTAAATATATTTTAGATTTATTGTTATAAAATTAATCTAAATTGTACATAAATTTTTAGATTCACAACATAGTAAACATGCTTATAAGCTATGTTATAAAATATTGGTTAAATGATGTATGGTTATAATTAATAACTTATTAAAAGTTTATATTTTAAATAACACAACTTATAAATTTATAAAATTATTATTAATAATACAGTAATAATTGCTGTATATATTACAATATAAAAAAGAGAATTGGTTCAAATTTACAATAACTCTTTCATAACATCTCCATTGATAGCATTAGCGGCGAGTACACCGCCATCTGAAACTAGGTTAGATCCGGTGATAAACGCAGCATGGTCACTGGCCAGGTATAGTATATGGTCGGCAATATCATCGGACTCTCCCACCCGACCCACGGGCATAAGCTTGTTAAAGACGTCCATCATTTTGTCCGCTAACTCCGGTGGCGAACCCATAGCTGTGACAAATTCAGTGCGAACGGGTCCGGGACTAGTAGGGAATTAATTAATGTTAGTTAGGTTTATATAATTAGTAAATCAAATTTTAATTAAAGTGATAAATTTGTATACTTGATAACGTTAACCCTGATTTGTTTTGGTCCCAACTCGGCGGCCATGCACTTAGTAAACATATCCAGAGCACACTTTGCCGTACCATATGGGGCAAAGCCAACCACCTATTAATTGTATGATATTATTATTAATAAAATGTAGAGAATTTGTTATTTATAGCAAATACTTACAGTTCTCATAGCGCCGATACTCGAGATATTAACGATATTTCCCTTAGTTTTCTCCAAATGCTCGACACATATATGCGTTAAATAGACCACAGAATTGAGATTAATTGCCATCAGTTTCTCAAACTTGTCGTAAAAGTATTTGTCGTCAATACGGGTGGGATTCCCGGCGCCGGCGTTATTGACGAGAATATCAAGTTTACCGAAATGTTTGATATTCTGGTCGACGAGTCGTCGCATGTCTTCCCGTTTGGTCACATCTGCCGTCACTTCCAGTGCTTTAATCCCTTTCGGCGATACTTTCAGACATTGTTCGCCCACTTCTGCGAGTTTGTCGGCCCGACGACCGGTGACTACCACTTGGGCGCCGGCTTTGGCAAACTGGACAGCAGTGGCCGCACCGATGCCCGAACTCGAGCCCGTAATCAACACTACTTTACCCGTGAAATCGTATTTAACAGACATATTTTCTTGCATAAAAATTGGTTATACAAATATTTTATATAAAGTATTTTTTGTGAACACATAAATTAAATGAATTTTTAAATGTTTTGTATTTATAGCCAAAATGATTACTGCAAGTTACGTTTAGTGCACTTGGCATCTGTATACTTGCCAAGGTCCTACACTAATTATCTAGTTATTTATTTACACTAGTTATCTATTATCGTACACTAGGATATTATAAATTCCTTATTTACATTTATTAACCATTTACAGTATTCATAGACGTAATTATTTGTGATTTATCGCAATTAATTAATTTGACTTTTATATAAATTTTAATCGTACAATACAAGTCTTTCTGTACTAACTAATCATCCAGTTTAGTTATACAATGTTAAATCCTCTTGCACTTAATTTTGTAGGATCTTACTAGGATTCCTATGTAATAAATTTAAGCAGTATGTTAGTTTTTAATTTATTAATTATTTAAATAATTAATATTAAATTTAATGTTAATGTTTAAACTAAATTAATATATTGTTTAAATATTAAATATCTTAATCTGTAAAATAATTTGCCAAATAATGCTGTAAACAAATGTTCATAAATAGATTTAGTTTAATTAGAGTTGAATCAAATTAATGACGGACTTGCCAAGGTTATTTTGCTTGTCATACTGTAGCTTACTTGTTATGAACACGTTGTTATATTATATTATTGTTATATTATTGTACATATTAACAGTAAAATTTACCAACATTGATTTTTTTAAATAATAGATTACAGAACGATGTCAACGGTTTTATAGTAAGGCGCTTAAGGTGGTTTGCTCATCATTTGATAAACAATCATGGTCTGAGATTTTAATGTTCACTAATTGACATGTTATTAAAGTAATTCAAAAATTCCTGGCTTAATTAAATGTATTTTTTATTATTCAGCAAATACTCTGTACTTGTGACATATTTATAATATCATAATAATTTATAAATTACTTGTTAAAATACGAAAACAAAACTATTAACTATACATTAAAATTTAAGTAATATTTGTTATTATCAATATGTATGATGTGTATAAATATTGATGAAATATATTTTAGATATTTTAAATTTTTTATTATTTATTTATACTTAGTGTAATATATTAATTCGTATTTCTTATAAATAAGTTAATTGTGTTGTTGACAAATAAGTTAATTATAAATCAATTTATTGATTCAAATAAATGTCAATTTTATTATTGTTATATTTGTTAAATAAGATCTTGCATTAAAATTGACTGGTATCATATTTATTATATAACTTTATAAGACTTATTATAAGACTTAATTTTAATATAATAATTTTGTAAAATGGGAAACAATGTTTATGACTATATATTAACAACGATAACACTTATAACATGTTTTACGGGATGTTTGTATCAAATGCTGGAAATAAGTTTCATATACTTCTCGTACGAAACCACTACTGATGTTAAGTTTGACTCACAGTCTATACTACAGGTGCCGGCGATTACTCTATGTTTCGACAAAAGTAACCTATTAATCAATAACCATGGTAAAAATCTAAGTTATTTTAATGAACAACCTGTACAAGAGCAATTGGAAACATGTCGGCAATGGTTTGAAAAGCAAATAATGTGTTTAGTCAGGGATCAGGAAAGAGAGCCAGTAGAGTGTCCAGCTGTCACCAAATACATTTACTCAATAAATAAAAAATCCGCGTTTTGTGTGACAATATTTTCAAAATGGCTGACAAATTATACGGGTTATTATGGCGACGACAGGGTTAATAAATACGAAGGTTTTCCGTTTTTCAACTTAATAAGATTTTTTGACAGAAGCATATTTGTAGATGATAAAATTATTATTTATGTCAAATCCAATTGGGACAGACTGTTTGGTCATTATAGTAAGGGTAAGGTTGTAGTAAATGCACAGCACAAAACTGGTTCCCGTTTAAAATATCAAAAATTTACAATTATCCACAAACATTTAATTACACATAATTCTCAATGTTTTAAGCATGATCAAACCCGCTCTATATGTAGGGGTAAATGTAAAATTAAGAAATATTTAGATAATTATTCTGCATTTCCGGCCGACACTCTATGCGTTGACACCGATATTTCAGATACCATTAATAATAACAATAATAGCATTTATTTTGCCAAAGAATCCAACACTAGTTTCGATACTGAATGCCATCGTAAATGTGATGAACGCGTTGAGTGTATTCAACACTACTATAGGCTTGAATATTATGACGTGTATTATAATAATTCGAGTGAAAATTCTTATGATTTATTTTTTGAGATACCGTCGGAACCGGAAGTGATATACACTATAACCCGGAAAATGTCAGTCGAAGAGTACCTGTGTTTTATGGGTAGTATTCTTGGCCTATGGTTTGGATTTTCTGTTTTAGTTTTTACACGATTTTTGCGTCAAATATATAGAAAATATGTTTTAAAATTTATTTCACCGCAAAATGTTGTCAACAATATTAGTAATAATTTTCAATTTAGTTTACAAAATATGATTTCAATTCATAGACAATCAACAAAATTGTTTTTGCAAAGAAAATGATTAAATATTTGCATATATTTTAAAATAAAATTAATATAATATTATTTATATAATACTTATAAACCTTATTATAAATTTTGATTATATAATATTAATTCTTATATTGAAAACAACATATCGTAACGCACTACCTTAGATATTATGTGATAAAATAATCAAGATATTTTATTAATGAGAATCTAACAAAATAAGCAATCATCATCATCGTCATCAACTACAAAGCCGACTGGATTTAAACACATATAAGTTGCAGTAGTGTTGGCCAACTGTGCGCTAACTAACGGTACAATTTGATTGGCTATATCGGCGATGGGCTGATTATCGTTCAGATACTCATTTGGACATGCCGGGAAAAGCATGCACTGTGCAAAAGTCATACCACAATTTTGTACCATGTCTCCACAGTATTCAACGTAGAGGTCATCCACCAAATCATAGCACCTGTAGTTGTCATACCTGGCGCTGACACCAATATAGGCAACAATATTGGTAGTGTTTATATTAATTGCACCATGGCAGTTTTTAATATCGGATGGACAATTGCCGGGCAGTATCGCTCGCTTGACCCGTTGCCCAACGCTATTCAACTGGAAACTCATGCCATGAATGGCCCATTCCGTAGCCATCAATATAGCTGTTATTAATATTGATACTGATATTCCTCTCATTCTTGGACTAAATTTTAAGTTAACAATAAAACAATTAATATACTGTATTATGTAATTATTTATATAATAATTATCTACAGTTTATTATAATAAACTTAAAACAAATTAAAGATAAATTTTTATTTTAAAATTAGCCAAGTTGTATTTAAGTGCAGTTTAAATATTATGTTTTACAGCAATTTATATAAATTGAGTTTTAGGTATTTGATTGACAGAAAATATTTAAAACACTTTTATTTTTTATATATAAGTTTAATAATACAATTTTTGAACTAATTGTTTTAACAAATTCATTGTAAAAACAATAGTACTCTATGACAATTAAAAAATACATTTAATTAAATGAAATGAAATATGGTGAGACACTTAAATATACAAAACTCGGGGTCAATGGCATTTGTTTGAATATAGTGCAATTAACTAAATCATTGCGAGGTATTTGCAAATTGAACTTAACATTTACTTTAATTACTTATATTTTTCAACAATTTTTGAAATTTATTTCAGCGCAAAATGTAGTCAACAATATTAGTAATAATTTTCAATGTAATTTACAAAATATGATTGCAATTCATAGACAATTAACAACATTGTTTTTTGCTAAGAAAATGTTTAATAATTGCATTTATTTTTAAATACAATTAACATTATTGTATTTATATAATACTTATAAATCTAATTATAATATAAATATTGATTAAGATTATATATAACAGTAATTAAAATTTAAATTTATCTTTTAAGCTGCGCTTGATGTTCGTTTTATTATCTTGTATTATATTTAAATTATTTATAGCAATATTATTGCTGTTGTTATTTATATTATTTATGTTTTGTTTCAAATAAAACTTTTTATAAACACTTATAGCGGATTCCAGGCATAAGTCGGACACAAAAAGCAATGTAAAACCAAACCATAGGCTGAATACACTACTCAATAGACACAGAAACTCAACGAAATATAATTTCGGTGTTTGTCTATAAGTGATGGCCGGTAGGGATGGCATCGCAAACTGCAGGATATCAGTGACCTTAATAGTATCATTATCTGACCATGGGTCTAGCACATTTTTCTGAACAAGATTATAATGCTCTTGGTAACAATCGGCACTTTCACCGCAAAGTCTATTACAATCAGCTGTTAGTCGTTTTGCATGGCGGCCGAAACGAAGCCTCAGATTCCGGCCGTAAACGAGATAATTGTCGGGCAATGACTGGTTTGCGGCCGACAAGCGATCCAACAGACACTTCGCCCGACACTCGTATCGCGAGCCCAGACCGCGGGCACTGTAGTCGACACACCCGGACCCGTACGGCGCCGGCAACTGTTGGACAACAGTTTTCTGGTACTCCAGCATTATGTACGCAAATTTGGTGTTGATCAATTTGAAGCCAGACTGAGATACCTGCGCTATTGTTCGGTTTCTGGGGTGCAGGTGCATAAAAACTCCCACACCTATTGAGATGTTTTCTATACGCAACAAAATACGTGGTAAAGCCTGGTTGTCAGGCATAGCACGGATCCGATACCTATCGTCCGACAACTGGCCACCGATTTGCGAGAATAATGTAATGCAATAAAACATTGCGTTTATTGACTGTCGTATGGGTGTTATGTCCCGGCATTTAATTGTATCGCCGCTTATGTTTATGGCCAGCGGTCTGTTGACAATACACGTATGGTATGTATTATCAGGTGCTACTAAAGACCCAAACTGTTCATTAATAGGCAAAATATTAAAATAATGTTTAAACTCGTGGTCCGATCGGTTGTTTGTGATGATTTCCGGTCGTAAATACAGGTATTTATCCACACATATAGTGATTGCCGGCAATGATATGATAGTCTCGGTCTCGAAGCGCACATCAGTTGTGGTCTTTAGTAGCACCTGATAATACATACCATACGTGTATTGTCAACAGACCG